ACACAATTAACACTATTTCTAGGATTGATGCAAATAGAAAACAGCAGAAAACAAATCTCGTAATACCTTGGAAGTCTTACCAAAAGAGAATACCTTCGAAGTGGATCAAACGTTAAATGATTAAGAATAATATTAGCAGTATGACAAGAAGTAAACATCTCAGTGCATTACCATAACATGTATATCGAATATATAAACTTAGGTAAGCCAATTACCATGAACTCATTGAAAGTTATGAGATAATGATTGTTGAGAGATTCATTTTGTGTATTTTAACGAATTTACTAATTATGTGTCAATAACCTAACATTCTAAATATTGTCAATTAATTTGAAGAAAAAAGCATCCTGTACATACTAAAGACTCTTCAAGCAAAAGATGTAGGATTTTCCAGTTACCAACACAAATAAACAATGTTTCCAATACAAAAGGTAACTCTTTCCTTATTTCAAACTTAGCACCATAATTGAGCCAATAACACCCCAAAAAAAGTTGTATAAAAATGACTTATGACTTATCTCAATGTACACAGAAAAGCTATAACTAATGGTCCAACCAGGCTACTGGATAGTGGTAACCTTGCAATGAATATTACAAATTAGTGGTTGTCTGCCTGAGAGAAACTCCTGTCATGAGCTAATGGACCAAATTTCACCAGACTTGCATAAAATTTGAATGCGGTGTAACAAGATACAAAAAGAGCGGACATTTGAACAACAAGGAACTTGATAAATCAAACCCAATCAGAACACCACCAACCAGGAAACACAGACAAGCTCACAACTCCATGGAAATGAAAACTGTTAAATGATCACTAACAAAGGGGCACCAGGACAAGTAAGTTACATGCATGACTAACCTCCAGTGGTGTCATCAATTCAAAAGGCTTCTCCCAAGTAGATAATCCTGTCCTCCTGTTGTAATAAAATCTGAATAGTTCATACAGCAAAGAACAATATTCGATTAGCACAGGTTATCAGCCATAAAAACAACTAAAGTACAACATTCTAACAAACTGAAGCTTAAGAAACAATTAGGTGGAATAGTAAGAATCACCACCTTCTTCCTTCAGCAGATGTATGCTCTCTCCATTCTGCCACGGTCCCTCCTGCAGGGTTAGGCCGTACACCTGTTTCCTGAAATTTTAAGAGATAATGAATGCTACCAAGAAATCGGCATAGATAGCTGAGGAGCATGAAAATAGGCTCAAAGCTTAAAAAAGAGGCTTCTTACTGGAGCAATGGAAGAGGTTACAGCAGGCCGTTCGCCGGTGTGCTGCAGAGGTGTAACTTGTCCCTCTGATGAAACATTAGGTGCATGCAATTGAGATATAGACTGATACTGGGTGGAGTCATTAAAACTTCTTGGCATTTGACCATAAGAAGAAGGTGCGAACTGCATAAGTGCGACTTATGAATTCAAGGCCTAAAGTAAAATAAAAAGTCAACCAACAGCACTCCTAAGACTTACAGTATATGATGAAGAGAGAGGTGTTCGTGGGCCACCTAAGTTAGGCATGGCGTTATTTGGACCTTGTGAATTAGGCTGAGGTAGGGGCAATTCAGATGCAAAGTTCCTGTTGGGCTGACTAACTGGCAATGGAATGGCCTGTGATGGCAGCATACCATGACCTGGCTGACCAGATCTTGGAGGTAACTGCTGCATTGGTTGCGAAAACTGGGGTTGGTGAGTTGGAGGAGGCAGTCTAACATTCATCAACGGAACACCCCTACCAACATGCTGAAAATTTTGAGAAGCCACAGAAATGAACTCCTGCGAATGTGGTGCTGGAACTACTGGCCGGAACTGCAGCATAAAATTAAATTGGAAGGGGACTGTTTTTAGATATCATTGAAAATATACAGGTGACAAACAAATTCATTAAGAAGGAATGTGTTACTTGAAAAGACATGGGCGGCAAACTTCGAGGAGGATCAACAGAACCAACCATAGGAGGCCGAAGAGGCTATCCAACAAAAAGAAAAAGGAGAAGATAATTAGCAAAGCATAAGAATATAATTGGCCAGCATCTATTTTAAAATTTTTTTATGGAATCAGAAGCTTTCATACTTTTGATAGGTAAAATATTTTTGAAGGGAAAAGTCAAATACATGAGAAAGTATAACCATTAAATAATGGATGGTATGGATCCATAAGAAAGGAAAACACTGCCTCATCACCTTTTTCAAGTGCAAATGGTCTTGCATGTTGCTGGAAAATAGAAAGGTAACCGAAAAATGAACAGCCCTAACATCTAAAAGGTAATAAGCAAGGAGGGAAACCAAAATATTAAATACATTAGAAATAATGAACTTAGTCAATTATTTATACCACAAAGTTCACCGCTTATAAAACCAGAAACAGAAAGAACAAAAAGGAAAGTATTAAATAATTTAAAGATAAAAAAATAAAAAAGTCAACTTAAATTACCAAACCCAGCTTCAGGTCACTGGATAAGAACCTATGAAGATATAAGACAAGCCTTGATGCATGAAGCAAAGACGTCATGAGTTCCTTAATCTATTTGGAATGCAGATAAAAAGTAATAGCCTAAAAGACTCCAGAAAGGTACCCCTTCAGACCAAATTGATGAGAAAAATAAGATTAAAGCAAAACATGTATAGAGCAAATAGAAAAACTAAAAAAAATCTCTAAATATAAGTGATCTACAAGATACAAACATATAAATACAGTTTTCTTTACACATTACCTGTAGACCTGAAAACTGAGGGTTATTGGCCATTTCAGCAAGATATGCCTCTGAAAACAACTGCAAAGTCAACAACCATCATTAGCATCTTACAGATCCAAGAGAGCATGTTAGGATGGAAGCTTTTGTAATCAAGTAGTGTAACATCAAAATTCCATTTAATGGAAAAATAGATTCCATCAACAAACACACGATAATATATGATCTAATCTAGCCTACGAAGCAAATAGAACCTAAATGTTTATGGCATGGAGAGTTGCAGATTTAGAAACATGTTCATAAAACAAGCACAGCTAAGGAGAGGTATTAAGACAACTCAAGCGGCAATGCAAGGAAAAGATGAGACAAGAAAAGGAAGGGTAAGGTGAGGCAGCACCAACTTATAATTTGATTGCTTAAAGTCTTCTATGACGGTTCATATGCGCAACCAAAATTTAAAAGGCATTAGACAAAGGAGTGATCTGCAACCAAGATTGAAGGGATGAAATCTGCAACCAAAACAGAAAACAGAGTAACCCAAAAAATTAAATAATTCATTCTAAGTAGTCAAATTATGTAAACCATTTCATGTTTTCAGGTTTCTGTTCAGAAATTATAGAACTACTGACAATTACTATTTCTACAGCTTTATATAAACTGATATGAAAAACTAGCCCAAACAGACAGGTTTAAATTCTCAGAAAAGATATATATATATATATATATATATATACACGATATTTTCCATAAGCCAAATGTAGGCAGTGACGGTGCCACCACCCAATCCCAAACTAACCCAGAATGTCAACCAAATCAAATTTAAAGCCCTAATTTCACATTTAAGAATCTCAATTGAAGCAAAAGCTGACCTAATTAATTGCATACCACACTGAGGACAATTGAAGTTGAAGAGCATACAATATATATATTGGAAACTGCATTAAAAGTTTGATTCTTTGGACATAGTGTTGAAATTTTCGCGTGATAGTGAAAAGGATACTAAGAATTAAGATGAAAATGAGAGAAAAATCGTACCAGCTGAGTGAAGAAGCTGTGACGGTGAAACACGTGAGAACTTGAAGCCTTCAATTTGATTTCGCTGTTTACTTTTTTGTTTTGGGCTGAATTTCGAAGCTTTAATTACCCCGGGGCGGTTTATATCGTCGTTAAATTTTAATTAAACCCTTTTTAATAGGACCTTTTATTTGTTTTTTAAGGACATGAACAAAGTGTGTCGTATACTTAACAAGACCTCTCACTCTAGTAGATGACCGTTGGGTTTGCCGACCATGAAGAGGGTAAGAAATCATGTTTTACCATATGTAGTCAAAATAATTTGGTAATTCACATACACCCTAAAGGAAAGATATGGTAAATACATGTATTATTGTGAATTTTTTTTCCCTTTTGGAGAATTCAAATGATAAGGTGAATTGTATCTTGATGTATATCAAAAGAATATTCTGCACATGTTGGTTAGGCACGTTGATTAATGTAGTGTGCATGTTTCCCTGTACTTAAGTTTGATCGATATCCTCCTCATTTCCTCACTTCCTTTAACCCCAATGTATCGTTACCCCTTTCTCTTAAAAGTAAATATTTTAAGGAAAATTTTCATTAGCTAAACAACAATGTGCTGGATGCAATATTGTCAAATGAACAACTTGAATTTTAAAACAAGCTTATCTATGATTTAATTAAATGTAAATTTGAGTTGAATGCAAAGACCGAATAGGGTTCTAATTAAATTTGAAATTATTTTTTAATACAATAAAAGTTGAATTTTTTCATATTTTGGAGCTTCGAACTTAAGACCTTTTTTGAAATGAGAAAGAAAAGTACTGCTAGATCAAGAGCTAATTGGTAATTAAAGTTGAAATTCTTGATTAAACTTAAAAAGTTTAAAGTTGAATCACGTAATCTAAAGGATGTCCCCATTTCGTAACTGAAGTGGCATTGGATCGGATCAGTAAAATATAAATTTCAGATTCAAACCTCCTTAAAATTCCGAAAAACAGAGCACCAAAACCCACACAAACGCTAATTGGTTGCACTGATCACCCTTAATCTGTATATTCCAATCAAAATCCAAAACCACAAGCCGATTGGAGCTCCACGTCCCCACTGAGCTTTCACGGGGTCTCATCCTTTTGTCACAATCTTCAGCACCCATGACGGGTGTCCTGAAGGAACCCCCTCCTAGCTTCTCCAACTTTCTAGACCGGCTTCTCTCTGTTTCCAGCGCTCTTTTTATGTCCAGCCACCACACGATGGCCTTTCACATCTCTCACTCTATTCTCCAAGCTCTCCAATGGCTTCTGTTTCTGTTGCTTCACGTTACACCGTTTCTTCATGGCCTCCCAAGACCAACAACAGTAGAGCCGTTGTCTCATCTTTCACCAAAATCCCATTTGGTAAAAAGACCCAGTACTTCTCTTTGTCTCCGTCTTCCAATCCCACTTCAAAAAGACGTCGTCTTTCATTTTCCATGAAAAATGATCAAGAAAACGAACCCAGTTCTTCATCTTCTTCGGCTGTTGTAATTACTGAGAAGCCAAGTGATGACAGTGATACCCAGCAGAGTAAATTGCCAGCGGAAGAAGTTGAAACGGGTAAGGAGAGTGGCTCTGAGTCTGAGGAGAAGGAGAAACAGCAAGAAATGGATTGGAAGACAGATGAGGAGTTCAAGAAGTTCATGGGAAATCCCTCTATCGAAGCTGCAATAAAGTTGGAGAAGAAGAGGGCAGATAGGAAGCTCAAGGATCTTGATAGGGAAAGTAGTGGTAACCCACTTGTAGGGCTCTTTAATAAAATTCTGCGTGATAGTTTGACTAGAGAGAAGGAGAGGCTGGAGAAAGCTGAAGAAGCCTTCAAGGCAATTGATCTTAACAAGGTAATTTTCTCCTTTCTGTTTATGTTTTCATGAATGGTTCTTTTCTTTAGAAAAGAAACCTTGCCTGGGATTCATTTTTTATTTATAGTATAAGTGAAAAAGCAAGCACCGTTGGATGTGATTAAATATACTTGTTTATGCCAGAAGATGATTTGATATGGAGTATAATTTACTACCTATTCATTTATTATATGGTATCGTTTATATCTTTAGTCATTTTGTAGGGTGCATTTTATTAGTTATGCCAAAAGGCACCAAGCTTTTGCATCTTATTGTGTCTATTTCATGTGACAGTTAAAAAGTTGTTTTGGATTTGATTCATTTTTTCCCACTGATGTTCGGAGATTTGGAGATGGGGGCATTTTTGTTGGAAATTTGAGGAGACCAATTGAAGAGGTCATGCCCAAATTGGAGCAAAAACTGTCTGACGCGGCGGGAAGGGAGGTTGTGTTATGGTTCATGGAAGAAAACACAAATGACATCAGAAAACAGGTATTCAAACCGGCTCTATGACTATTAATTATAGGCTAACTTGTTTCCTGTATTGATCTTAGCCTGTTGAATTGAGATTGAAATCCTTAGTTTGATGGTCTGTGCTCTAGGAGGTTTAGGAGTTGAAAATTCTGTAACTTTCTTAATGGATTCCCTGTTATTTACTTGCCGAGTACCCTGAGGAGAAATAGAAAATTGTTGTTGTTTCTGATTTTTTACAATGGTTATTCTTTAAGGTCTGTATGGTGCAACCCAAAGCGGAAATTGATCTACAGTTTGAGTCAACCAAGCTGAGCACTCCTTTGGGTTATGTTAGTGCAGTAGCCTTGTGCGTTGCTACTTTCGGAACAATAGCTCTGATGAGTGGCTTCTTCCTCAAACCTGATGCTACATGGGATGACTACCTAGCTGATGTTGTGCCTCTCTTTGGTGGTTTCATATCCATTTTGGGCGTTTCTGAGGTATCTTTTTATGCATTTGACTTGTCCATCATTAATCTAGGCAATTCCTATTATTCTCTGGCACATAATTGTCAAGGATGTAAATCTAACATGAAAAGGATGCTATTTAAATAAGAATTGGATATACCTATTATGAGGAGACTTTGCATTCCTTTGTTCAGATGCGATGGTTATGAGATTATGTATTCCGGATTTCTTTACACGTTGCATGTGATGCAATTTTCTTATCACTTTTTCATTCTGACAAGTTTGTGTTACACAGATAGCCACTAGAGTGACAGCAGCTCGCCATGATGTAAAACTCAGTCCATCTTTTCTTGTGCCATCCAATTGGACAGGGTGTTTGGGAGTGATGAATAACTATGAATCACTGCTTCCAAATAAGAAAGCTCTTTTTGACATTCCAGTTGCACGCACAGCTAGTGCATATCTTACGTCCCTGGTGCTTACGGTTTCTGCTTTTGTGGCTGATGGAAGCTTTAATGGGGGTGACAATGCATTGTAATTTCTTCACAGACCCTTTCTCCGAAGCATAAAAATTGGTTTTTAAAATGCCTAGAAAAGATCCTCAATCATTCTTTGTGCATACCAATGGTGGTATTGCTCACTTTAAGTATAGTTTCAGCAGTATATTGCAATATTTCTTCAACAAAACTCTAGCATCACTGTTTTAAACTTTGTCATACCACACTTAATATTTGGTTTTAACAATCATTCCTTTTTTTGTTGGCAGGTATATAAGGCCTCAGTTCTTCTATAACAATCCCTTGCTTTCCTTTGTCCAATTTGTTATTGGTCCTTATACGGATGACCTTGGAAATGTGCTGCCCTATGCAGTTGAAGGTGTTGGAGTTCCTGTTGATCCCCTTGCTTTTGCTGGACTTCTAGGTGAGTTCCTCAGCCTTCTTAATCCATTTACAGTTTTTACTGTCATCCTTCTCCCCAAACAACCGACTGTGAGTTGGCTACAAAAGTGGAGGTATGGGGTATAAAAGAATTGTTTTGTACAATTGTATGCTCTTTTAGCGTTTTAACCTCAAATATTTCCGCCAAACAACTGTGAAATAATTGAACATTTGGTTTTTGAGGGAAAAAGAGGTTGATATGATTACTTTGTGCAGAAATCCTGTATTTGCTTAAATATTAGTATCTAATCTGTATACAAGGTATTGACTAGATTTCTTGGCAGGCATGGTGGTGACTTCTCTGAACTTGTTGCCATGTGGGAGACTCGAAGGAGGCCGCATTGCGCAAGCCATGTTTGGAAGAGGCACTGCTACTCTGCTATCCTTTGCCACATCACTTTTACTTGGTATTGGTGGCCTAAGTGGAAGTGTCCTCTGCTTGGCATGGGGGTTATTTGCAACTTTCTTCCGTGGCGGAGAAGAAATGCCTGCAAAAGACGAAATCACCCCCTTGGGAGATGACAGGTTTGCTTGGGGTTGTGTTCTTGGCCTCATCTGCTTCCTCACGCTTTTCCCCAACAGCGGAGGGACGTTCTCCAGCTCATTCTTCAGTGCACCATATTTCAGGGGTGATTTGTAAATAGGCCGATAACTGTAATTTGTAAATAGGCTGATAACTGTAATCTGTATTTTGACAGTCTCACTTCTGACTGATAAATAAGGTGAAATGCTAAGGGAAACAGTATATACTTCCCAAGTTATAATGCAAGTTAGGTTTGAATTGTATGTATTCAATGTTTCATTTCAGTTACCCTATCCGTTTTTGAATTTGAATCCTGATGGTGTTTTTTTTAGGCGCTAATGTTGTGTTTATGTCCAAAACAATATCGTTTGAGGTTGAGGGTTTAGCGTGTTGGAATACATGTCGTAAATTCTATCATGTCGCACACCAATCAATACATGTCGTAAATCCATAACATGTACTCAGTGCCCTTTTTCTTGATGAGGGTTTTGAGGGAGGCTTTGTTGGAAGATCGTAGCAATCACAAGCTATTGATAATATGCAGTACGTGCTGTGCTCTTACACTCGGGTTTCATTCAGTACAATTCAGTTTAGGGTATACGGGTCGACCGCTTTCGTTTCTCGGATGCATGGCCACCGACATCTTTCACAATGTCGTTTACCTACACTCTCCCCGAAATTCTTCAAAATCAGACCAATGGTCAAAACCGGATTGACGGCATTGCATTAAAATTCCGGAATGTGGGGCCCTGCGTTAACGTCTACGGGTCTTTAACGAGTGGCGAGTCGGGTCCTTGCTCGGCCCATTTGGATGGGAAGAGGTTTGGGCCAATGATCCAACAACTGGTGAACGACAGACATGGGCTTGTCGCTGAAGAGAAGTGATGTCGTTTTGGAATGTTGTGAAGGATGAGATTGTGTTGCCATTGTCGTTCGATCTCTGCAAAAAGGTCGGCTTGCCGGCTCCGGCGAGCTTTATGCAGCTTCCTTCGGTGCTCCCCGCTGAGGATATTGCCAAGGTGGGTTGTGTGTGTAAGGAGTCGAGAGAGCTTGTTGACGATGAGGAGTTGTGGAAGCAGTTGGTTTTAGATGAGTTTGTTCATGACTTGTTTTTTTCCTTAAACTTCATGCAAATATATCAATTTTAATAATGATACGAGGCTTTCAAAATAGAAAGATGGTAATTCACAGTCAAACTACATGTCGTAAATTCTACTATATCACACACCATCAATTACACTTGCCTTGTATGTTATAGATCAAACCATGCTACATACCAATTTCAGTTGTGACACATGCCACAGGTTATACAATGTCATACTCGTACACCAAAGAATCATTCACAATTATTATGTATGTCGTAGTCGTGCTGGTCAATTTTGTTTTTGTTTGTTTCGTTTATTTTTATTTGAAAAATAAGAAGAATTTTCTGTGTGACAATATAAAAAACGCTCATATTTAATATATATATATATACAGTCCCCTTCTATTGAGGGATCCCTCAAATAATTTTATTTGAGGGACGCCTTTTAGGGTACCCTACAATTTTTTTTCTAATGATCCAAACCATTGATTTTTTAGGTCTTCATTCATAGATCATCCTTACAAAAAATTAGACAAATCGGAAACCGTTTCAACATTCAATTGTGTTATACAAAATCAATGAACACAGTGCTTCAAGAAAGTACTAAAATTTCAATAACTCAATTGAATGGTCAAATGATATCATATTCAAGTGATTTTTTATAGAGATGATCTTTGAATGTGTCTCTACAAAATAGACGGTTTGGATTAGTGAAATACAATCCGGAGTGGGCCATACAAGGGGTGTCCCTCAAATAAGCTTATTTGAGGGATCCCTCAATAGAAGCTCTCTGTATATATATATATATATATATATATATATATTAGCCCCTTAGTACATACTTATGTGCTAATTGTTTTTTTTTAAAAAGATAACATGAGTAGTTATATTTTATAAAAATAGAACTTATTATCTTTTTTTATTTTTATTTTTATTTTGTTAATATTAAAAAAATATGAATTTATTATATTATCCTCATTTAATTAATAATTTCAATTCTTAATATTTGAATTAACCAACCTCCACCAAAGTTTCCTCTGGCTTCGCCCCGCTCAGGCATAGTTCACCATCTTTCGGGTCCCGACAGGCATGCTCTCGTTCGAACCCTTCTCAGAAGATCAAGGTCGGTCGGCGATGCAACCCTCAAGGGGATCCCGCCAATCAGCTTCCTTACGAGCATTTTCTGGTATCGTAAATGTTTTACTATTCTCTACTTTTTGCTTTATATATATAGATTGTTAAGTGTTTGTTGCACGTTGAAAAGTTAACGTCTGTTTGTTACACAAGTTTTAGATAACATTTATAAAGAAACTAGAAATAAAAAATAGTCTTTGCGTCCGTGCCAAAATTCATTCTTCTTTCTTCCCACGCCGACTCAAAGCTTCCAATTTCGCAAAGTAGACAGAGAATTCTCTCAACAAAAGCAAAAGCAGCCATGAAACTGAGAGTGAGATCCATAGAAACCAAAGAGACCCTCCGAGTCGAGGTCCCCAATCTCTGCTCTCTCCACCAGCTCAAGCTAACCATCTCCCAATTGATCTCAGCGTCTCCTTCCTCTCTACGCCTCTCCCTCAACCGACGCGACGAGCTCCACGCGTCCTCTCCTGACGACTCGCTTCACTCCCTCGGCCTCACCTCCGGTGATCTTATCTTCTACACCGTGGACCCCTCCTCCCAAACCCTAGCTCCACCTCCGCATTCAATTTCACATTCGTCCGTACAATCCCATAACCAAATCCTCACCACTGGTGTGCCTCAAGGTTCGAATTTCCAAAACCCTGAAACCCTAATTGGCGAAGGGTCTGCCGCGGGTGATTCGATTGCTGAAGAACAGAGGTCTCTGGTTTCGAATTCGGAAACCCTAGTGGCTTCTGGTTCTGAAAGCATGGAAATTGATGATGGGTCTGATGGGATAGGGTTGAAAAAGTACTCGGTGCCCTTTTTCTTGAAGAGGGCACTGAGGGAGGAGTTGGGAGAAGACCGTAGCAATCACAAGCTATTGGTGATTGCTGTTCATGCTGCGGTCTTAGAGTCCGGTTTCGTCGGGTTCGATTCCGTTTCGGGTATGGGGGCCAATCGGTTTCATCTCGCTGATGAATGGCCAAGGACAGCTGTCACGATGTCGCTTTCCTATACTTTGCCTGAGATTCAGAAAAATCGTGGCAATAATGGTAATGGGGTTGAAGGGGTTATGTTGAAATTTCAGAGCTTGGGGCGGTTTGTTAATGTTTATGGGTCTTTGGCCAGTGGTGGTGCTGGACCTTATCGGGTATGTTTGGACGAACACAGATTTGCCCCCATCATTGAATCTGTTTGGGAAAACAGAAATGTGAATGAGAGAGATGGGTTAGTCTCAGAAAGAGAGGTTTTTGAGTTTTGGAAGATTGTGAAGGATGGGATCACATTGCCATTGCTGATTGATCTTTGCGCAAAGGCCGGTTTGCCCGCCCCACCGAGCCTGATGCGCCTTCCACCGGAGATCAAAATGAAGATTTTGGAGCCACTATCTGGTGTGGACATTGCCAAAGTGGGTGGTGTTTGTAAGGAGCTGCGAAATCTTGCTAATAATGATGAGTTGTGGAAGAAAAAGTATGCTGAGGAGTTTGGTAGTGGTACTGGAGGAGAAGGAACAATGATTAACTGGAAGCATAAGTTTGCTAGAAATTGGGAGATTGCGGAGCAACAAAGGAAGGCAGTAGGGCATTGGAGATCATATGAGAGGCCTTATTTCAACCGTATCAGGAGGGACCCTAACCCATTGTTTGTACCTCCAGTTACTGGTATAATTGGTGGAGATTATGACCGCTTTCCGGTCTTTGGTGCCCTTAATCCTACTGGACAACCACACCCTATTCTACAACCACCCCGTCGGTTTCCAGCACGCCGTAATTTCTCACCAAATTGCAATCTGGAAGGGTTCCTTGGCTAGTATGATGCCTTGGAACTGAAGCTGCAGGTTCATGTTTCGTATGCATAGTATACATAATAAGCATCTCGGTGGATATCCAGCTAGAATTAAAGACTAAATCATCATCAGTCATAGCTGGTTTTTGTCTGTTTATGTGTATATTGTTGTTACTTGTGTTTATGGCCTTTTGGATTTTGGAGATTATTTAAAGTTGATTTCGTAGTTTTGGTGTGAGTCTGTCTATTCTTGATGTGCATATAAGCTGCTCTACTGCTTTATTGTTTAAGTTTCTTACTAATATCTGTTGGTGCGCTAAGATGGCATGGTTTTCATATATGAAGAGTTTGGGTTAATTCGATACACATGCTGCTTGTTGTTTAGTTCAATTGGCTGGGGAGTCTAAATAAAATAATGCAGATCAGAAAGATGGTGTTGTCAACTGTGTTTGTTTCTATCGTTTGGCTGTCATGGTCATCGATTGATTGGTTTACAACTTCTCATATCAAATTAGTTGCAAACTAGACATTTCCCCTGAACTTCTAATACCACAATATGTTACTCTTGTCCGTTCGCATTGTGTTCAGTGCAAGAGTAGTTCAACTTTGCTCGAGTATCGGCACGTTAACAACCTTAAACATCCAAAAGATCGTTCGTCTCCTCCCCTGTAGATTCAAACCTTAATTGGAAAACTTTTACGACTCGAATTGTTTAGGGTGGTTGCTCTCTTATCCCAAATTCTGTCACAGGCTCACAGCCCTTACAAGACTATTGTGAGCAACTGCAATTATATGTATAATTTAAGCAAATTGAGGTGCCACAACTTTTCTACCCTTCATGCAACTCCATACTTTATTTTTTGTTTTTTGTGAACTGGGGGCTAGACCCCCCAAAAAAAGAAAATAAAAAAACTAAGTAAAAACATTTGGGGATCTGGCAACCCGCTCAGATCAAGTAAAACAGAGACTAGGTAGCCCAGGTCAACCAGGGACTTATTTTATTTGGAATGATTCTATATTTTTATGCACTACTTGTAAGAAGAACTCAAGAGTCGAGATCAAAATGATGATTATACAATAATTTCTCATCTTTCCTTTTCCATCTTATATTACATAGGAACCATACTTTTCCTTTTGCTTTATTTGAAGAAGTTTTTAAAACTCATTCATTTTTTGGACCTATGCAACAAAGAGACGTAAGGAAATGTCTCGGTTCTCAGCTTCACATCAGACCATGTGCAAATATGACTTGGTTGACAAGGTTTTAAATATGACTTGGTTGACAAGGATTCAACAGCTGCAGTTTCGTGGAAAGTTTGTGCACTTCACCTTCCCCTCTTGTATATATTTTGCTTCTACAACTTTTCCCAAACACACAAATTCCACAAATTACCTTGTCATTTTAGTGTAAATAGAGAAATGGAAAGAGGTCAGAGAGCCTACAAAGGTCACTGCTTGGTCTTACCCTTTCCGAGCCAAGGCCATATTAATCCTATGCTCCAATTTGCCAAGCTTTTATCTCACAAAGGAGTTAAAGTCACACTTGTCACTACCCGCTATATCCACAAGACTATGTACGGGTCAGCATCGAGCTGCATAGCGCTGGATCTGGAGACCATCTCCGATGGCTATGATGAAGCCGGGAGAGGAGAAGCAAGCATAGATGCCTATTTGGAGAGCTTTTGGAAAGAAGGGTCAAAAACTTTGGCTGAGCTCCTTGAGAAGCTTTCAAGCTCAGGGCCTCCAGTTGATTGTGTTGTTTATGATGCGTTCATGCCTTGGCCTCTGGATGTTGCCAGGAAGTTTGGAATTGCCGGGGCTACTTTCTTCACCCAGTCTTGTGCTGTTAGCAACATCTACTACCATGTCCACAAAGGACTTTTGAAAGTTCCTCTTGCTGATGATCAGTCTCTGATTTCCCTCCCCGGGTTGCCACCACTTGACCCTCTGGACTTGCCATCGTTTGTATACGACTTGGAGTATTGCCCAGCTTTTTACAGAGTGGTTGTGGGTCAGTTCTCCAATGTTGACAAAGCTGATTGGGTCCTCTGCAACACATTTTATGAGTTGGAAGAACAAGTGAGTACATAAGGAAGTTTTTTTTTTCTTCTCAACTTTGATATATGATTAATTTTAATAAGCTTCAATGAAACTAATTGGCATTAATTCTTTGCTTAGGTGGTGGATTGGCTGGCTAAGTTTTGGCCACTGAGGACCGTTGGACCAACTATACCATCCAAATACTTAGATGAGCGACTTGAAGATGACAAAGAATACGGTGTCAACCTCTTTAAATCAGACAATGATGCCTGCATCAAATGGTTTAAACGAAAGGCCAAAAGGGTCTGTTGCTTATGTATCATTTGGCAGCGCAGCGAAACTTGACGATGAGCAAATGGAGGAGCTGGCTTGGGGTTTGAGGAGGAGCAAAAGTAACTTCTTGTGGGTGGTTAGAGCATCAGAAGCAGCTAAGGTGCCAAAAGGGTTCATCGAGGAGACATCGGAGAAGGGTTTGGTGGTCTCATGGTGCTCCCAAATGGAGGTTTTGGTTCATGAGGCTGTTGGATGCTTTGTTACACATTGTGGTTGGAACTCAACTTTGGAGGCTTTGAGTTTGGGGGGTTCCAATGTTGGCAATGCCACAATGGACTGACCAAAGAACCAATGCCAAGTTCATTATGGATGTGTGGAAAATAGGGATCACAGCTCCATCTGATGAGAAGGGGAAGGTGAGACAAGAAGTAGTGGAACATTGTATAAGTGAAATAATGGAGGGAGAGAGAGGGAAAGAAATGAAAATCAACGCCCTCAAATGGAAAAAGTTGGCTAGAAAGGCAGTGGATGAAGGTGGAAGTTCAGACAAAAACATTGATGAGTTCATTTCAAAGCTGATTCAGTGATGATAGCTATGTGTTAGAAAAGCCCACACAAGTAAAAACAGCTTTAAGCACTATGTGTGGTTCCAATAATATTTGTATGCCAAATCTTGTCAACAAGCTGTTGTCAATTTATCAATATCTCTTTTCATCCTAGTAATTGTGCTGCAAAAGTGACGATTTATCGCCTTACTGATGGCAGAATTTCTCTCTCTTCAATTAAAGACCACATTGATATGTCCCGTCTTGAGAGTCTAGTTTTGTCATTGTCTTCTCTAATTAAAAAAATAATTAAGAAATTGTGTGATAGAGGAAGAGAGCTGTTCTTCAAATAGAACAATATTGTACTTTAAATTCATGGAGTGATCTGTTGGTCCTAGTCTCCAACACTTGTACCTCAAACATTAGTTGGCAAAAAATTTCAATTCCAACTGTTTTAGCAACCAAACAAAAAAAACCTCGATGGTTTTTTTTCTTGCCAACACCCTTATAAGTCTCAACTTATGTCACAGCCCTTCAATCTTAAAGCCCCAAAAAGAGCTTTAATTTGACAAGGATTCCGCACTCTTATGCTAAATTCTGTCACAGGCTCACAGCCCTTGCCCATCTCTTTGCTCGTACAATACAAGACAGCCTTGCTTTCAAGGATTTATTTTTGTCTTTGGGTTGGTTTGTCTTTGCTGTATTATCCTTTGGATACTCTTTTTTTTTTCTGTGGTGTCAATAAAATTTTGTTTCTTATAAACCAACATGTCTCAATTGTATATGAACTAGGCCTGTAAGTTGTAGCCCAGGTGGGATTGGGATGAGATGGAGGAGGCGTAGAATCTTATTTTTGTGACATTTAGTGATCTGGCAACCCAGATCAGATCAAGAAAAACAGACTATGTAGCAGTCCATGCAGCCCAAGAGACTTGGGGTGTGCGAGATTCAATCCAATATTGCCAAATTGATCGGTCTAATCCAATTTTAATTGATTTTGGTTATTTGAAAATTTGGATTGGATCTCTAATTTTCAAAACAGACATGATTGGATCATCATATGGTGAATTGCTTTTGAGAATCCAATCCAATCTAGTTAGTTTCGAGCTTATTTTGTTTGAAATTGAGAAAGTTATGGACATTTTAAATCATTTGATGGAGTTATGTTTAATATATTATAGAATCAAAACAAATTTATCTAGCATTTCATTTATATTTCACATTGACACATATATTAAAATGTTTAATTAGATTTTAGACATAACGATAAATATTTAATATTTAATTATTGTGTTTTTTAATTATGAAAACCGATTATCCAATCTAATATCAATTGGATCGGATATTGGATTTAAACCTCTTGTCCGATCAGATTGGATTGAAAAAAAAAAATCATAATTCAATATATTGAATCGAATGCAAATTGGCTAAATTACATTGGTTTCGAAACGATACACACCCATACCCGAGGCTATTTAATTACTTATTTAATATGAAATGATTTTATATTTTTATGCACTATGTATAAGAAGACCTCAAGACCAAAGGCTAATTATATAATAATTTCCCATTTTTCTTTTCCACTTATATTACACTATAAGAGCGGCTATGAGATTTTAGATGTCACAAGTATTGAAGAAAATTATATAAAAAGAATTTGACCACATATATTGATAGCAAGTTCAAAACTACTCATCAATACCTATCAAACAAATAATTCAATGAGAAACATAAAATAAAATAAATACCCATGGTTTATCAAATTATTAATTATAATTAACCCAAAAAAAATGTGGATTAGTCAAGAGCTCCTATTATATGAAATTATTCTACATTTTTATGCACTGTGTATAAGAAGACCTCAAAACCAAACGGTGATTATATAATAATTTCTCATCTTTCTTTTTCACTTTATATTACACTGTAAGGGCGGCTATGAGATTTTAGGTGTCACAAGTCTTGAACAAAATTATATAAAAAGAATTGGACCATATATATTGATAGCAAATTTAAAACTACTCATCAATAGCTAAAGGATTATCAAACAAATAATTCAACGAGGAACATAAAATAAAATATAAAAAAACATGGTTTATCAAATTATTAATTATAATTAACCCCAAAAAAATGTGGATTAATCAAGAGCTCCTATTATATGAAATTACTC